ACGACTATTAGTAATTCCAAACTATTAAATAATTTTGTAAGAATTTAAAAAAACAATCTCTATTTTCTATATATGACATGTGTCAACTGTCACTTTTGAAAAATGGTTTAAAAGGACGACATTTGATTTCATTAGTTCTATTCTGTCTACATCCTCATATCAATCAATGGTCGGGTTCCTACACCCGTACCATGACAAAAATTTTTTCAATCTTTTAACGTGTTTGTGAAGTCCAGTGTCGGCTTTTTATATGTTTTTTATATGTTTTAACAAATTTCAACAACTAAAAAAATCATTATTTTTGAAATATAAGGAAATGAGATCTCTCCTTTGTAGTGGTATTTAAAAATTGACGTAAGTTAAAAATTATAATCTTTACCAATTAGTACTTATAAGAACATTTTATTGTAGCATAGCTCTGATGATGGCTTTGTAAAGCCGAAAGCGCTCAGCTAGGAATTGCCTAAAATATACACACTTCAAAAATACTTTTTTGCATTTTCTTTCGACTTGTCATAAGTGTGTACAAAAAAATATCAGTCTTTTGATTACATTATTTATTGAATGCGTTTATGTAGGCTGGAAAAGATGATTGTGTCAATCCGAAAAAATTATCCATTCCCACACTTAACATTTTAAAACTTGTACAGCTTATTGTAAACAGTAATCGAATTATCACAACTGATAACTGGTTTTTATCAGTTGATTTGGCAAATGAATTTAAAAAATGAGTACTAACGTATACAGGAGCATTGCGAAAAAAACAAAAAAAAATTCCGATAAATTTTTGCTAATAAAAACCGCACCGCCTTGTCAACAATTTTTGGATTCACAAACGATCTAACACTCCTATCATATGTTCCTATAAAGCGTAAAGCTGTCATAATGCTGTCTTCACTACACCATACAGCTACAATCGAAAATAATGAAAAAAACTGAAAAAAAAAACGAAATTATAAGTTTTTATAATTTAACAAAAGCAGGAGTTGACAGCTTGGACCAAAAGTGCGCCTGTTATAATGTAGGTCGAAGAAATAGACGTTGGCCACTGATGATATTTTATGGAATGATACATATTATGGTTGTAAATTCTCACGTTATTTATAACAGTGCTGTAGATTATCAAGGACTATCATCAAATGAGGGCTGAAATAAGAAATATTCCAATTGACCTTCGAGGTATAATAAGGCGTTTTATTGGACTATCTGCACAACAACCCAGACAAGATAATCCCATGACAAGAAACGACGACGATGTTACATGTGTTCTAACGACAACAAACATCCAAAATGTGCTCAGTATGTACTAAGGGTATTTGTAAGGAGCATAGCATTGAAGTCGTGAAATGTTTTCAGTGTGCGGCGGATTAAGGCCGGTCGTCCTTTGGATGCGTTTTCGTCCGAATTGCGTTCGTCAGAAATCGGACGAAGAAGTGCGAAGCATCCCGTTTCATTGAAACCTATTGATGCTCGTACACTGCGTCCGAACTGCTTCGTACGAATTCGGACGAAAACATGCGAAGTGCGATCTATCCGAAACAAATGGGATTTTTCGCAGTTGTTATGAAGAATTGATAGTCGATTTGTATTTGTAACAGAACGAGACGGATGTTGAAAAATTAATTACTTTAATTTATGAAAAAAAGCCTCTATGGGATATGACCGATAAATCATATCACATGAGAGATATACAAAGAAAATTGTGGCAAGAAGTGGCAGTTGAAATGAATACTAAGGGTAAGTTAAATCAAATTTAGGTGTCAGGTACCTATGATATATGTATTTGCAAACAAACAAAATATTTGTCTTTGTTGTTTATAATGTAGAAAAGGCATATATGGGTAAGGCTCATTGAAATCCAAAATGTATTTGAATATTTTATTGATTTTAAATTATGCATTATACAATTCTTGAGATGAAAAATAAGTTTTAAATTTATCCCTGATGTCATAAGCTGAACTGGTGCCTCTGTTTTCACCCAAGGTTCCAAATCTTCCCGTTCTTGAATGTGTTTGATGAGGGATTTGCTCGAATGTACATGCTACTTGTTGCTCTTCTTCTTTATCAATTATAATGTTATGCAAGAGGCATATGCATTTATATAAGTTTATCGGCAGATTCGGGATTTACTTCAATTGATTTTTGTAATAATCTCCATTTGCTACTCATAATTCCGAATGCACATTCAACAACTTGTCTTGCTCGAGACAAACGCTCATTAAAAATTATTTCTGAAGGTCCTAATTTTGATACTGGAAAAGGTCTCATTAAATAAGTTTTTATTGGATAAGCTTCATCTCCCAAAAGAACATGAGGTACTTTAATATTTGTTCCCGGCAGTGCACAATGTCTTGTAACACCTAATCCTCCGTTTTCAAGATTTTTGCTAAGATTTGAATGCGAAAAAATACCACCATCACTTTCTTTACCGTACGCTCCCACATCAATTGCTATAAATTTGTAGTTTGGTCCAGCCACAGCTTGTAAAACAATTGAGAAGTATTGCTCGTAGTTTCGATACATACTTCCAGAGTGCTTTGGATTCTGTATGCGTATGTGTTTCCCATCTATGCATCCAACACAGTTTGGAAATTTCCACTTATTCCAAAATCCTTCAGATATAGATTCCATGTCTTCATTTTTCGGAAATGGCATATGTACAGTACCCAACTTGTCCCAAATAGCATCACACGTTTCGTGAACAATTCTACCCACCGTGACATCTGATATTCGAAACGAATACCCCAATGTCTTAAACGAGGAGCCCGTTGCCAAATACCTGAAATGAAAAAAAAAACGTGATTAATTTGTAACGATTTTTTTTGTTTCAGTTGATGAACTAAAAAATAAATGGAGGGGGCTGCGAGACACATTCCGGAAGGAATTCAACAAGTCGAAAAAACAGAAATCTGGAGATGGTGAAGAATCGGTAGTTACCTCCAAATGGCCATATTATAAAATACTGTTGTTTTTATCTAAAACTGTTGAACGACGTAAACTGCATGGAAATATATCTCCGCAAAAGGAAGACAATAACAACTCTTATTCCGAAACAGAATCGACATTGGAGCCTGATGCAGACAATGCATACTCTCAATCAACCATTCAAGAGTCATCACAGCAAATTGTAAATACAGATATACAGCAGCCATCCACATCTGGTAATGAGGTTAAAAGTACATTCAGTACACCTAGTAGTACAACTATGCAAACTAAGAAAAACACAAACAGTCGTCTAAAATATGCTAGGAATTCCGAGGCAAATTCAATGGACGACAAGTTCCTCGAAATAGAAAGAGCCAAATTGGAAATATTGTGCCAACATAAAAATAGAGAAGATAGTGACAGTGAACGCCAATTCCTACTCAGTCTCCTGCCCTTTTTAAAGGCTGTACCTCAAAATCGACAAATGCTAATAAGAAGTAAGTTGCAGCAAGTATTTCTTGATGAGGAGCAATTATCTACAAGACACGCGCCCGGAGCATCATATCGTTCCAATGAAACAATTACATCAACACCGTTGCCTTCTCCAATGTCTTACACAGACACCGATTCCTCCAGAGCGTCATTCTATTGTAATGACTTAATATCAACACCACATCATTCTTCATCTTTGCAAAATACAGAATCTTCCGTGGTCTCACAATATTCAAGTGAAAGAAGAGAAGATGTTTCCTCTCAACAGCCGTTATCCATTCAGAACTATATTACTCACTTCAGCGCATAAAACAATGTATTTCTTTTCTTTGTATTTTTTAATAATAAAATTGGAAATGTTGCAACTACTGTATTTATTATAACTTACCTTAGAGTCACACTCAATCGTTCTTCTGGTGAAATGGTCTCACGGAAATTCGACATTTTTTTAATTGGTTCTCTTATGGCATCTAAAATATAGTTAAATGTATCCTGATTCATGCGATAGTAATCAAAAAACTTTTTCTCGTCCTTTTTCAAATTATCATATAAATGATGAAATTCTCCGAATTCTTTTCGTTTTGCTAATATGTCATTAACCCAACATTTTTTTCTTTTTAATTTTAATCGCCGTCTAACAAGGTAACTATTTTCCAAAAGAATATGATCCATATTAAGTATTAATAATTATTATAGTATGCTTATTTGATAAATTACTACATATGACTGACTTCGTACAATGCGAAAACTTGTCTATAGTGGACGATACCACATATGCGAAATCTGACGAAATTATTCCTCCGATTTCTGACGAAAATATTTCTGACGAAAACGCATTAAAAGGACGACCGGCCTAAGTCTTCAAATAATTTCACGATACAAAATACCCTAGACCTTTTGACTAAAATTCTTAATGTTTTATTTATTTTTTTATAAGATGAAAAAAAATAAGTTTAAAAAAGGAGTACCTAATTATATTTAAGTTTTTTAAATATTTTAATTATTATTTATTTAATTTTCGTATAACCGTACAAGAATTACAATGTTTATGAATAATTCATCATAATTAGGTACATATTCTGTTTTCATTTATATTCTTGTTAGATATGTTTTCTAAAGGATTAATGTAGGTGTAGGTTTTTTATTCGTGGGTCACCATTGACCTAGCATACCTTAAAAAGATAATTAAATCACCATACCAATTGAGGGTTAAATTATATACCTTTTATAAAGGATTTTAAATAAACTTCTGTAATTTTTGGTATACAGCCTACTACAGGAATTTCATTTTCCTTGTGGAATTTAACATTTATTAAAATAGTTAATTTTAGGTATCAAATATGAAGTCAATAACCTAATGCACAAACACTTGAAACTACTTAAATTTAATTTATCTATTTTTTAAATGACTCTGATTTGCACTTCTATTGCATCGAAATGTCAATAACCGAACTCAACGAACCCCATCAAGGTTTTCATAGAAAAAACCTTCAACTTGAGTAAACAATCTACCTTAAAGGTCACCACGCCGTAAGTATGCATGACGTACCAAAGTTGATACATTATCTCACAAGTGCAGTGAACAACTTTAGTATATAAAGTATCACTGCCGCTGATTTAAAATCACAAACCCACTAAAGAACCTTGAATGAAGAATCATTGATCCACTCACCATATTTCCAAAACTACAACCATGAAAATCGGTAGTATACTTATCGCGATTTGTGCTGTGTTAACAGGGTCAATTGCTGTTCAAAAACCCAATGCAGTCAAAATTGTAGATGCGTTGGTAGACACCGATGAAATAAGTCCAAAATGCCTAGAGAGCTTAAAGCTTTATGCTTATCGACTGAATAGTATAGGAAGTGAAGGAGATTTGTGGGCGCTCAAAAGTAAGTATAACAAAACAGGACAAAATTATATAATACACAATTTACTAATAAATATTTTTACTGCCATTTCTATTTTGTTATTTAAATAGGAGGTTTCTAAATCTACTTTTTTATAATTGCACATTTCATAATTTAATTTTCACAATATTATTTGTGCGTGGCAAGTACTTTCAAAAATAATCTTTTTACTACAACATTTAAACAATAGTTTTAATATAATAACCAACGTTTTTAGTGTAGTTAATAAATCATATTTTAATCAAAATTTAAATTAAAATACTCTTTTAATAACAGTTATTATTACCGTTTTTACTACATATCAAATACTGTTCGATATATACATATACATACTATAATATTATTTTAATTAAATAATTATATTTTGTACTGAAGTCCTTAAAAAGCTTTGAGAATATCCCTAAGTCGTTTAATTTTGTTCACGTACTTTGATTTTCCAAGCCACTCATATTAACCCATGTGTTCATCGTAGTTTTATCTATATTTTGCATACAATAAGCATAATATACTACAAGCAGTTCACCCTTTTTTATTTAACTTGTTTTATGGACTTAAATACGTACCCGAGAAATCGTTAGAGCTATACTCACTATTAAGTAAAAATGTCCTAACTGGCAATATTAAACTTTTGAGAAAAAGCAACATAATGTGTAGTTAATACCGTGCTATCCTCAATTTAAAATGCACAACGCTGCTTTTTTTTAAGTAGTTAATTATAATTCTGTTCATTTTTTTTATTTACCAGCAATTACTAAAACTACTTCAAGTTTGACATTTGATAGATAAGACTTTTTAACTAGTAATAATGCATAGGTTATTTGGAATTATTAATTTTTCAGATAGGACTTTTTTAGTTCAAATATGAATCACAGTTAGAATTTGACTAACTGCGTTTACACATTAAATAGATATATTAAAAGAGGGCAAAACTGTTACATATTTTATATTTCCACACAAGTAATTACATTAAAATAAATCTTGAAAAAAATTAAATCAAATTACAAATTATCCTTAACGACGAATTCTGACACTGGCATATTTTTCTAAAACATAATCCTATTCTTAGGTAATATTGGGCGAAGCTTATTTAGCAAAATTTATTTCTCCTTATGTCAATACCTTAAACCTTATTATACATATTGTGTTTGGGTATGTCTGCTCCGAAAGAATTTGCCATTAGAAAATTAAGATTTAAAAAATCGTCTGAAAAACTTACTCTGTATTTAAGATTTTTACTTTCTCTTGCACAAGAAAAAAAAACTATATGTCGTAAATATGAATAAATCTGAAAAAATGTCATTTTTCCAAAATTTGGATTCTGAACACAAATATAAATCTTCTTCTTCTCGTAGCACTACAACCCGGGGTGGGTCTTGGCTGACTGCACAACTTGGTTCTATCTTGAATGGTCGTCCATAACAGTTGGGTCAGTCGGTAGCCCCATTGTTCTTAGATCTGACCATATATTGTCTCTTCATCGCATTCGTCGACGTCCTAAGGGCCTTCTTTCTGTGGGGCCCATATTAACTTGGCAAGACGGAGTCTACGAATGGCAGCCCATCTTAGACGTTGGAATTTAATCTCTTGGACTATGTCGTTTTCTTCATACATCTGCTTGACCTCAGTATTTGTTCTCATTCGGTATTAGTTGCTAATAATGTCGTGATAAGGCCTAAAGATTCTTCTGATGATTTTTCTCTCAAAAGATCTAAGTTTTCTTTCAGTTTCTTCGGTTAGCGTCCACGTCTATACATGAGCACCGGTCTTATCACCGTTATATATATTCTAATCTTTGATGTTCGTGTTAGGCTTTAAGATTTAATAGTATTGTGGAGGCTGTACATACATCTGTTTGCTGCCTCAATTCCTTCTTTAACTCTTCCGCTATATCGTTATCTGCAGTGATTGTTGCTCCGAGATATTTAAAACTCTCCACTCTTTCAAAGTTATATGGGTCTATTGTAACATTTTGCCCTATTTTATCTCGTCCCTTTTGTCTGCTGATGCACATGTATTTAGTTTTCTCTTTGTTTACCCTTAAACCAGTTTTTTTGCCTTAACCTGCAATTTATTAAAAGTCTCCTTCACATTGGTGACTGTGTTTCCCACAATGTCAATGTCATCTGCGTATGCTAGTAGTAATTTTGGTCCATTTACTGTCAGTAGTTCTGTTTTAAGTTGTGCTGCTGTTACTACTTTCTCCAGGATGATATTAAAAAGGAGAGTTGATAGCGCATCTCCTTGTTTAAGGCCACTGCTTATTTCGAAAGATTCTGAGGGTTTGTTACCTGTCCGTACTCTGAATCTACAGCTATTCACACATAAGTTAACAGTCGACTCCAAATGACTACTGATAATGACAGTGATGTTTGGAGTTCTATGTCAGTTAGTATATCTTCTTTCCTTAATATACATAGATATTGAGTTAATGCACTTTTCTTTAAAAGCCATCAATTTCTCAGCACCCTAAGCAAGCGGGGACACATGAGCGGAATCCATTTTAACCTACGTAATATTTTTTCACACCCATTTTTCACTAATTTATTACCACCCTAATAATTTTTCACCACCAAACCAACCTTAAGGGGAGCGATTCTGCTGCTTAAGGTTCAAGCTAGCAGAATTTGGAAAAAAAAACTTTTTGTTGATGGCATATTTTTTCACCCATTTTTCACTAATTTATTACCACCCTAATAATTTTTCACCACCAAACCAACCTTAAGGGGAGCGATTCTGCTGGCTTAAGGTTCAAGCTAGCAGAATTCAAAAAAAAAAACTTTTTGTTGATGGCATATTTTTTCACACCATTTTTCACTAATTTATTACCACCCTAATAATTTTTCACCACCAAACCAACCTTAAGGGGAGCGATTCTGCTGGCTTAAGGTTCATGCTAGCAGAATTCAAAAAAAACTTTTTGTTGATAGCATATTTTTTTACCCATTTTTCACTAATTTATTACCACCCTAATAATTTTTCACTTCCAAACCACCCTTAATGGGAGCGATTCTGCTGGCTTAAGGTTCAAGCTAGCAGAATTCAAAAAATAAACTTTTTGTTGGTGGCATATTTTTTCACCCATTTTTCACTAATTTATTACCACCCTAATAATTTTTCACCACCAAACCAACCATAAGGGGAGCGATTCTGGTGGCGTAAGGTTCAAGTTAGTAAAATTTAAAAAAAAAAACTTTTTGTTGATGACATATTTTTTCTCCCATTTTTCACTAAATAATTACAATCCTAATATTTGTTCGGAATCAAACCATCCTTAAGGGGAGCGAGTTCTGTTGGCTTACGGTTATACCATACCATACCATATACCATATTGTTCTGCTAGGTTTTTACAAATTTATTACAACCTGAGTAATTTTTCACCCCTTAACTACCCTTGTGAAAAGTCAATAATTGTGTTTAAAGATTAAAATTTACGAAGAAATTTTTTCCTCTTTTCTACTTATAACTGAAATAAAAAAAGTGGTTTGTTAAGTTTTTACTATACTTTGACCATCCTAATAATTTTGCACTTCTAAACTAATCTTATTTAAAAATGTTCCTGCTAGCTCAATATTTGAACCAGCAAATCAGAAAAAAATTATTTTTTTTTAATATCACAGTGTTTTGCTAGGTTTTTGCGAATTTATTTCCACACTAGCAATTATTCACCAGTCAAATGCCTCCTATGGGAAGTCAATAATTCTGTTAAACTTTAAGGTGAAAAATATTCTTTTACAATGTTACTCTTCGCTACTTATAACTGAAATAAAAAAGTGTTTTGTTAAGTTTTTCGGCAGAGATCTTGTTCTTTAAATTTTAGGGTGCTTACACTTCATCCATAATCCAATGAGACCTAATGTTATTTCTGTAGATCGGTTTTATAGAATAACAACAGTCATATACTTTTTAACTATAAAATGACTGCTCTGTATTATCCAGTAAAAGAATTACCACTAGATGAATCGATGGTACCGTGGAAAGTTAGACTTAGTTTTAAACAATATATTAAATAAAAAACACATAAAAGACGGTATGAAGGTTAGAAATAATTCGTAAATTAATTCATAAAAAAAGTAAAGAAAGACGGAATATCGTACGCGAACATTTACCTATAAATAATTGATATAGAATTATTAATATAAAAAATTAATAATAAAAAGATGCAGAGTAAGTACTATCCTAAACATTAGAAAAACCCAATTTATGAGTATGTGAACTGTCCCGAGAAACCAGATCTCTCCTTGGTCGATTCTTCTAAACATTTCCATAAACAAAATAAACAAGTTAATAATTTTTTGAAATACCCTTTAATTTCTAGTTATATTCAACTGACAATGAATGAAAATTCGACAAAGAATTAAAAAAATACAAATATCTTTAAATTTTTAAAATGCTGCTAATTTAAATTTAATTTACTACGCAAATAATCTATAACAGCTGTTCTGACCAACCGGTAATTTCCGATTTATTTGAATATACCTACTTAAAATATTTATATCCTAAAATGTTTTCCAAGATAAATTCTTTGTGCTATAGGTACACATAATCTTAAAAATATGTTTTGACCAATCGTTAATACTCTTCTTATTTGATAAATATTAAATACCTAAATTATTTTTCAAATTTTCATGTACCTACTGAATACAAATCTTTTAATCTCTTAACAATAGATACGCACGGTCCCGACCCTTCTTTTCAATTAGTTAAATAATATAATAGACGTAATAAAATTATTTCAATTTGTGTGTTATGTTATTTTGAATTTTTATTACCTGGTAATACCTGGAATGTTAGTTTGAATTACCTGGTAATTTATTCTGTGAAATATAAAAATTCCATTGTATTGACTAAAACTCAACTCGATTTCAGTTATTTTATATTCATAAAGGGTTCAAATTTATAGTTTTTTGGAATAAAGTATTTTCAATATTTAAACACTAAAAAAATAAAAAATTGTTAGCATAGAATAAGATTTGAAAATGTTT